GCCAGTCCCCTCAATGCTTCAGTGTGGTCTCTGGCTGTAGGGTGAACTACAACTCCCACTATGCTTCTGACTGCTCTCTGACTGCAGGGTGAACTACAACTCTCGCTATGGTGAGCCAGTCCCCTCAACGCTTCAGTGTGGTCTCTGACTGCAGGGTGAACTACAACTCCCACTATGGTGAGCCAGTCCCCTCAATGCTTCAGTGTGCTCTCTGGCTGCAGGGTGAACTACAACTCCCACTATGGTGAACCAGTCCCCTCAATGCTTCGGTGTGCTCTTTGGCTGTAGGGTGAACTACAACTCCCACTATAGTGAGCCAGTCCCTCAATGCTTCATCGTACTCTCTGGCTGCAGGGTGAACTACAACTCCCACTATGGTGAACCAGTCCCCTCAATGCTTCAGTGTGCTCTTTGGCTGTAGGGTGAACTACAACTCCCACTATAGTGAGCCAGTCCCTCAATGCTTCGGTCTGCTCTCTGGCTCTAGGGTGAGCTACAACTCACACTATGGTGAGCCAGTCCCCTCAATGCTTCATCGTACTCTCTGGCTGCAGGGTGAACTACAACTCCCACTATGTTGAGCCAGTCCCCTCAATGCTTCAGTGTGGTCTCTGGCTGTAGGGTGAACTACAACTCCCACTATGGTGAGCCAGTCCCCTCAATGCTTTGGTGTGCTCTCTGGCTGCAGGGTGAACTACAACTCCCACTATGGTGAACCAGTCCCCTCAATGCTTCGGTGTGCTCTTTGGCTGTAGGGTGAACTACAACTCCCACTATAGTGAGCCAGTCCCTCAATGCTTCATCGTACTCTCTGGCTGCAGGGTGAACTACAACTCCCACTATGGTGAGCCAGTCCCCTCAATGCTTCAGTGTGGTCTCTGGCCAGGGTGAACTACAACTCCCACTATGGTGAGCCAGTCCCCTCAATGCTTCAGTGTGGTCTGACTGCAGGGTGAACTACAACTCCCACTATGGTGAGCTAGTTCCCTCAATGCTTCTGTCTGCTCTCTGGCTGCAGGGTGAACTACAACTCCCACTATGTTGAGCCAGTCCCCTCAATGCTTCAGTGTGGTCTCTGGCTGCAGGGTGAACTACAACTCCCACTATGGTGAGCCAGTCCCCTCAATGCTTCGGTCTGCTCTCTGGCTGCAGGGTGAACTACAACTCCCACTATGGTGAGCCAGTCCCCTCAATGCTTCAGTGTGGTCTCTGGCTGCAGGGTGAACTACAACTCCCACTATGGTGAGCCAGTCCCCTCAATGCTTCGGTGTGCTCTTTGGCTGCAGGGTGAACTACAACTCCCACTGTGGTGGGCCATTCCCCTCAATGCTTCAATGCTCTCTGGCTGCAGGGTGAACTACAACTCCCACTATGGTGAGCTAGTTCCCTCAATGCTTCTGTTTGCTCTCTGGCTGCAGGGTGAACTACAACTCCCACTATGGTGAACCAGTCCCCTCAATGCTTCGGTGTGCTCTCTGGC